GGTTCGGTCTGGTCTTATCTGTACTTTTGGACTTATCACTTTTGGTCTGGTCAAAGTGGTCATCGTTTGTGTTTTTAAAGTTTGCTAAAGTTTTTTTAAAAATATTTTTCTCAGCTATAACCGTGTTGAATTTATGCAGAACACATATTGTACTCTGACAATGTACTGTTTCAATACAATTCCAGGCTAGAATTAAACTTGAACGTGAGTCGACCGTGATAATACAATATTTCTTGTCGTCACAAGACATGCATAATACAACATATTATGTCGTACGACGATATTATATTATTATAATAGAAACGATTGTCAAAACGGTATTTGTCTTTGCAGACACTGGTAACCGATTTGCCGAAAACAAATATTGAACTTTTATTAACTCTTGTGTGTGTGTGTGTGTGTGGTGATTGTCACACACAACCAATCAGGGTTTTTTTTTCTTTTTCTAAACTTGTCACGCCATTCGACAATCTTTTGGTTTTGGCGCCGTGCAAAATGACTTAGTCATAGATCACGATAAATATTAGTTTAACCGGCAATTGACTTGAACAAAATAATATTAATTCACCTAATGCCGAACCGATTTTTTTTTTTACTTGGCAGCGCGCATATACTTACCAAAAATTTTCGGTGTTTACCAAAATTATTCACCACTTGCCGGCACTTGAAATAAATTATATAAAAAAAAAAAATTGGAACATAGCTGGTTTCTGTACCGATCGTTTCTCTACACCTCTTGTTGTTCGCCTTGCACACAGCTGTGTAAACTTGAAATTCGACTCTAAGAAGACTAGTAGCGATTTGTTGGGCCCAACGCGGTTATAATAATGTATAATGTATTTTGTGCACCGGCTAGAGTGCTTTTGTGGCAGTTTTTTTTATTATTTTATTCGAATTTAACGCTATTAATAACAACACACCGATGTATTTCGTCGAATAAAATACAAACTTTGTGGTTTTTTTTTTTGCTATATAAAAAATACAGCTTTTACACACCTCTAATATTTCGCTCTGTCCGCTTATCACGGCTACGATTTAAGATTGATTACACGAGGACACGTTTTTTTTTTATTTAGGTCGTTAAATAAATGCGCGAACCCTTATTGATAAATAATAAATTATAATATGTTTATTTTTAAACATTTTTGTTTTTTTTCAATCGTTAATATTTATTTTTTAAAAGCTATAAATCGCTTTTGTTTCCCATCTGGAAAACATTTTACGTACCCGCTATTCTGTCGTACTGTTTTATTAATGAGTATAGTTTGTTAATTGTTTGCATATAACATTATCAACATGTCTGATCGTTCCATTGAATATTTAGATTATCGATCATCGTAGTTAGGCCAAACGACCTAAAAAGGTTTAGATGTTAATAATATGTTGTTTTGGTAAATTAGGCGCAGAGTTTTATGTTTTTTTTGTAGTTTCAAATGGATGACTAAAGTAAAAAGAAAAAAAAATGCCACAAATAAGATTGATTTATTTTTTGCGAATTTTTTGCAACCTTGTTTTTCTGTACATACCTTTATTGATACTTGAACAATAGAAGTTATTATTAATTGGTTCATTGTTTGATTTTTAAAAAAAAATTATTTTCATGGTTTACTTACTGCTACAGTTATATTTACAAATTGGCTCTGGCACTTCTTATGAGCGTACGATTAGTTACTACCTACACACTATTTGGTTTTTTATTTTTTATGATACAAAACAATAGTTAAACATATTACCTGAGGAGAAGTGCATATTAGTTGTATAATATATTATGTGCAGCTAGACTAGGCCCAAAGCTCTACAAAAGTAGAATTGGCATTGTTTATCCGCCAAAAACATCAAGATATACAAACCGGTTTGACGAAAAGCTTGAAACCTTTAATTTGGCAAGGCTAATTTTTAAATATCATCTGACATAACTAAAACAATAGCACTTTTTAGGTTGGCCATGGAAGTTTTATTTAAAATTGATGTTTTTGATACATTGCCAAGTTGAGGGTTGGAACCAAATGGGAATTACGTTTAAACATTATTTTCTGATAAAATAATATTAGTTTGTAATTTAAAGACTCACAAAATGGCTGTCGACCGAATTTAGCCAAGGAGCTTTTGGTAAAAATCCATCGGATAATCTCATCGATGACTTCGTACAATTATTATTTTACACGGATGATAACGTTTTCAACGAATGGGACAAAACATGATCTTGTAACCAGGTCTGGTAACTCCCTTCGCGGAAAAGCGTAGCCGTTTTTCTTCCAATATGGCGGCTACCGGCGTGATGTTTTACACACAAAAAACGTGTCGGCTTATCAATGCACGTCGATGACCGCCATATTGGTAAAAAAATCGCTCTTCCGTGTAGGGGGTTACCAGACCGGGTTATAATATCGTGGGAGCAAAATATGCTCTTATCAGCTATTACCGTCAAGTTAGGTACAGTTTGCAATAATGATAACAATTTTTATTGTGGTGTGCAAAATACATCCGTCAAAATAATTGATTGTTAATGCCTTTAATTTTCCGATTTGAAATTAATTAAGTATTAACATAATTGGTCTATTTAATATGTGCATATGACTATATCGACTATCAAACTATATCGACAATAGTGACAATACACAGTTAGATTACTATTTAGAACAGCTGATAATATGATTAATTGATGACACCTAATATTTTAATTGAACGACTAGGACATTTTTTTTTTAATTAAGTTACAAAATATAATATAATATAAAATTTAAGCGTGACAATTGTGGTTTTTGGCGGGCAAAGCCGATATTTGTAGCTTTGAAGAAGTATAAATTAAATAATAAAAAAACAATTGATCATGTCACGTTGTCGAACAGAATAGCATTAGGTCGTTCCTCGAATTGAAACTGAAAGTGTACAAACGGAGAAACTACTGCGAGCAAATAAGATAAATCGTTTGTTGTTTAAATAAAAGAAATAATTGCACATTAACCTCAATCGAATCTAAAATGCACGTGCAATACACTCAAAATAATATGTTAATTAGGAACTATGCGTATGAAACTCCAAATTTGTGCAATTTTTCAAAAATATTATTACTTTGTTTTACTAAAACAAAAAAATATTATTATCATGTCTAAAAACTCGGTTTGTTCCGAGTTTATTTGCGAAACATCCGTCAAAAATAAATTAAGCCATACAATTTATTGTTTGTTAACTCTTTTATTTGTTTTGGTTTGTTGTTTTTTTTGTGTGAGAAATTTCCCATAATCAGCTGCCTGTTTCTACGATGAAATCAGTCGTATTCTTCTGATGAGATCATTAAATAAACACCGAAACAAAAAAAAAACAATAGATAATACCACGGAAATCCCAGAAAAATGGCCACGAGGCTAAAATTAATGATTTAGCTCATGGCAAGTCAAAAATAGCGACGATAACGATCATTTTTCGGGAAATCCCACGGTACGATTTATTTCACAAATAAACCCACCGGAAAAACCCCGAGTCTTATAGACAAAACAATGATCCAAAATATCTACTCTTCGGGACCACCGTGTAAGTGCTAATGTAAGACCGACATCTGTTTCCGGTACACCCTGTATGATAACGGTTATTCAGAGTTTTTCAACGTCGGTTTAAAACGCAATTAATTAACAGCTTCGATAACCCGCAAGTCATTTACAGGTTTATATTGTATTATTATTATTACCTATAGTGTTATTTATGAGATACAATGAATGAATACAATTGGCGGCTACGTGCACGGTCGCAGAAAACTTTCTAAAAATCGACCTACTTACAAGTATTGAATTGATTTTGTCCAACGTTACATCAGGTGGTTGTGGACGCTCTTAAAAATTTGCAAATTATACATTAGTTGTGTGTGTGTAGTTATTATAATCTTATGATAAACGAAAAAAAAAATGGCGGTCTCCATCCGAAAAGCATTGTTCACATCGAGTGTCCATTCGGATTTAATTTACTCCGCGGTTACATAGTTTAAAAATAGACTAATCTAAAAATACCGAACTGAGTCATTTTTTTTCGCTTACCTGGTGGTACTACTGTTGCAGTAGAAACGAAAACAAAATCATAAATATAATATGTTCAAGATGATATCACAGATTGGCTCTACATTATTTGCGATTATTTCTCGGCGGTAAACCGATCAATCCGAGTGAAAAAACCACCGAAAATCTAATTGTAGTGCAGTGATAGTATTGTTTGTGTCCGTTTATAATAGTTTTACAACGTCCTTGGAACGTCCGCCATAATATTTATCGGTCAATTACAAAATGGCGCCGCAATTATTAAAATATGTGGTGCGAAAAAAAACTTCTCTCCTCCAGTTTTTTTCTTCCTTCGATAAATACCTTATTTTTGTTTTAATGTTGAGCTATAAAAAATGTGTTTGTTGTCTTCGCCGTACACTCCGCCAACTACACGGGGTCGGCCAAGTTTTTTGGGCACGTGGCCATTTTATTACCAGCTAAACAGGTTAAGAATTTTGGTGGTCAGCAGAAAAATCTTTACAGCAACAAATATCACACTAAAAACGTTTAATCCTCATAAATAATAAGCTTCAATGGAACGTCTTTAGCATTTCAAATTACTTTTATCATTACTCGGTCGCGTCCAACTACAGTTTCTACACACCTATTGTTAATACACTTCTGCTTTCTTGTAACAATTCGCCTACCTCTTTTGATCTATTCCATATCATATTAAACACAAATTTGTTCTTACCCATGTGATTTGAAATCAACTGGCTTAAGTTCATTCTTATCAAAAAAATTGAAATCATTGTAAAAAAAAAAAACAATACCTTCTCAGCTAAAAAAAAATACCTTTAAAGATTTCGTGTGGCCAAATAAATGAACAAAACCGACTCGAATTAAATGTTTTTTTTTTTTTAAATAATTTATTTCAATAACACAAAAAACATACGAAGAAATTCAATACAAATATACACAATATTGTACAATAATATAGTATAATAAAAAAACGCTATTTATAAAATAGTAATTTTGAGCACACTCAGAGTAAATAATCGAATTAACAACTGTTTTTTTTTTTTACAAACAAACACAACAGATTGCAATCGAAATAATAATAATGGCAAATAGGTGAAATAATGACAATTATAATAATTGATAATACATGTTAAATTATTTAAAAATAATATAAATAATAATAATACGATGACGATGAACAAAAAAAAAACCAAACAAATAAGTAAATCATAAATGTAGGTATATATAACACACATTTTTTTTTTTTACAAATATATTGTATTTTTTACAACGAGAAGAAAACTCAAATTACATTTTTTTTTTCAATCGAAAATAATAATTAATTATAATATAAAAAAATAAAAACTTTTTTTTTTAGGAAACATCGAACGAATCAGTCTTTTTAAATGGTAATTAAGAGCTTTTTTTTAATACTCGTTTCAACAGTCTTAATTTAAAAAAAAATCAACAAATTCTTTCTGGAGTTGTATGAAATTTTCATGGTATTTTCCCTGTAAACAACAAAACACACACACAAAAAAAAACAAATATTAGTTAATGATTTCTATTACAAACGCAATAATATTGCAACAGCAAATTGCTGTTATAATTGTTTAATTGCTATTAATTTTTTTTTTATCACTCAAAACAAAAACCGTGCAAGTCACTCGAAATGGTGTACCAAAAAAAAAGCGTTATATCTTTATTTATTTATTTTTTTTTTATTTCTCTTTTAACCCAAATTCAGTGCTGCTTCACACTGTTTTACCGTGTCGGTCTCGTTTGTATTTTTTTTTTTTAATTCAAGCAAATATGTTTTTTTGCCAACATGAAAAAAAATAGATATATATTTAAGTAAATACCATTTATCCGTGTATTCCACAGACCGTTTCCTTTTTAAACGCACAGGGCTGGTTCGTTCGGGGTGGTAGGTATGACAACGTTATAATAGAATTTTTTTAAAATTTTTTTTACAAATTTCACGAATGGTTTTTTTAGCAGAGATGCTATTTTTATTGTGGATTTTACAAAATATATACATTATTAACGCAACGCGTGATAATACTGGTAGGTCTGGATGATTTTTTGCAGATCGCCCAGAAAATATGTTTCTAAATTTAATAAACAATAAAAAAATATATGTATAAGTCAGTCGAACTTACTTGTGAAATAATTGAAAATAATAAATAATGACGGTTTTTTTTTTTAAATTTATGTTTTATATTATATATATATTTTTTTTTCTAATCCCAATACAGGAAACTGGCTTAATTATCGATATTTGTTATTCATATTGAATGTATATACGAATAGGTGTTAAAATAAAATAACTCACTCAAATTACTCAGACTGTAATCGAACATGTCTTGTGCTGCGGCTTGATTTGGGTTCTTAGGAGGAGGGCAGGCAAGTCCTTTTTTCGCCTAAATCCAAAAAAACAATGTGATATTATCATTTGTCGTGTACAATGTTTTGCAATTTTCATAAGTGCAAGTGCACACAACAGTCGTTAAAGTTTATTCGAGGAACGGATACCGAGTGAAGAATTTGTTTACAACTGAGTACTGCCAGGATAGTCTCGCTGCGGCAGCAAGTCACGCCACGACGGTACAGAAAAACAAATACTTAAAAAATAGTAATACTTACACCATTACCACTGGTGCTCGGCTGATCCAACCTATCCGGCATGTTAGGCGACTCGCAATCCGGTAGACTGGGCGACACCTATCACAACAGATAAAACAATATCTAATATTATTAACCGTTCGCATAGTTGCCAGAAAGAGAATCAGTAAGGAATGTTAACCAGTGGAATAGATCAGAGAGAGTAGTCCACTGAATTCAATATATGGAACGCTCATTGTCCCATGGTCCATGGTATTTATTGTTGTTTCTAGGATTTATCAAATATATCCTCCCTTAATCTAACATTTTTAGTATGTAGGAACATTTTTCAATCCATATGTTGAGTTCGGCGGAGTAGACACAAAGACGTGGTTTTGAATTTACTTGAGATTTTTATTTGGAGAAGAGAGAAATCGCGAGAAGCAGAATAGTGATATAAAGGAACGTCGGAGGAAAGACGGGAAACAGGAACACCGGATGTAGGCGCAGTTGGATACGACGATTGTCAACGGTAAAATAGTCATGATTCAAGGCCTACCGACCCAAGTATGAAAATAAGCAAGATATTTACCTGCGTCGTAATAGGGTAGGATTGCCCAGTGTTGTGGTCGTGGGCGACCCAAGTCTGTTCCATGGGCTTTTGTTTTGGATACTGGCCGTAAGACGGCAGCCGCTCTTCGGGCCCCGGCATAACCCATTGGTGGTTTGGCGGCGCGGGTTGTTGTTGGGCGATGTTAATCGGTTTTGGCCGTAGCGGTATCGTCGGAGTGATCTGCATCGAAGGAGGCGGCTGCTGGTGCTGCTGCTGCATCGGCGGCATTTGCTGGGCCATCGTGGTGATATGCTGCTGCTGCTGGGTCATCGGCGGCATTTGCTGCTGGTTCATCGGCGGCATTTGCTGGACCCTCGACGACGACATTTGCTGCTGGATCGTCGGCGGCATTTGACTCGGTGGGTGGTGGATGATTTCGCGGACTGGCTGCTGCTGCTGCTGCTGCTGGTGGTTACCGTTGTACGACGTGTACGACGACGAGGGTTGCCCGTACTTGGCGTAGTAGGGGTTTTGACCGAAAAGGACTGGCTGCGGTGCCGCGCTGGTGAGGCCCAATGTCGACTGCGGCCGTTTGTGGACATACGTGCTGGCCGGGGCCATCGGCGGGCCGGTCAGGCGTTGCTTCAGAGTGGACTCGCTGTACTGAGGCGGTGGCGGTAGCCGTTGGTGGTTTGGTTGGAACGTGGAGAAATTGGTAACGTTAAACTGAGGTCGCACGCTTATGGCAGGTCGGTTGTACAACGCCGGTGGCTGACCCATTTGGTTGGCGGCCATGTAATACTGTTCCATTTGGTTGTTTGTCATAATGGGTTGACCGACTTCTTGGTTGGTCGTCACCAAAGGCTGACCTACTTTTGCCATTTTCGACGCGGGCCCCTCGTCCAGGACGGTGCTTAGTTTCTTCCTGAGCTCGCTGTTTGAGCCGTTGGCGGCCGCGTGAAGACCGACCACCCGGTACGACGGCATCCGGAAGTATTTCCTGATGAGCGATATCTTCGTCCAATTGACGAGGTGGTGCAACGACTTTACGCGGGACAAGCCGCCGTACAACACGTCGTCCACGATAAAGCAGCCGTACTTGAAACTGTCCGGCAACAACCAAGTCTTGAAGAATTGCTTGTCCCGGCTTTTCACGCACACCTTGACCACCTCGCTGAACACCAGGAACTCCCTGTACGTGCCTATGTCCGTCAGTTCGGTCGTATCGACGGTTCTGCGGAACGTGGTCATCAGGCAGCCCATCAGCGGCACGATGTTACAGTGGCTACCGGAGAGGCTGCAGATCAACCGCACCAGCAGCTCCCTGACCTCTTCCGCATCGCCGGTGTTCCACTTGGCGTGCATGTTGTGCATTAGGTCGCCCGTCCTCAACCGACGGACCAACATGTCTATGATGGGATTGCGCCCGTACACCCTGTAGCTCTCGTAGACTATCTTTTTGATCTTTTCCCGCACCGCGGTCGTCTTGTCTTCGATCTTGTCTTTGACCAGTACCATCGACGACGACGACGGCGGCGGCAGCGGCACTGACGGCGGTGGCGGTGGCGGAGGCTGCATAACCGACGATGGCCTCTGATAAATATTGAACGGCGTGGGCGTCATTTCTTCGACGGTGTTTTTGAGCATAGTGATTATCGGCGGCGGTGGCGGCAGCGCGGTCGCATGTCTTCGGGCGTTGCCGCCGGACGCGGTCGGCACCGACGACGGTTCGGCAAAAACGGTATTGGGAAAATGAACCGACGGTTGCACGCGTTGGTCGGCGGAAGACGAGGGACAGCACAACGGTTTGGCGCGAATGACGGTAGCGGAGGCGACGGCGGACTTGGCTTGGACGGCCGGCGTCGGGAATGCCGTGACGGGCGGAGACGGGCGACGCGACTGACCGTGGTCCGAGCGCGGAGACAAGTCTATTTCCATCGCTTCGCTGTCGTCGCTTTTGTCAGCAGCAGCGGCGGCGGCGGCGGCGGTCTTATCGGTTCGGCCAGACCTCTGACTCGCGATAACGTCAAACATCGAACCGGTATCCATGATGAGTGGTCGATCCATGTCGTCGTCGTCGTCGTCTTCGTCACTGCTGGTCATCGACAAATCGATGATCTTCGGATAGGTCGGCAAGTTCAACCTCAGCAGAGGCGGCATCTGATCGAACGGTTTTTCCTCGCTCGGTTCGTCTTCGGCGGGTGGTTGGTCGTTAGACGCCGCGACCGGCGGCTCGGTCGGCGTCGTGCCGCCCGCCACCGCGTCAGAGGCGACCGTCGAAGATTCGGTCTTGTCGTTGGCCTTCTTATCTGAAACAACAACACATTCGACACCACCGTTATTTTTGGTAGCCATTTTTTTGCGATAGTATCTTTGTTTTTGTTTATATTTCAATCGTTTTCGTTTTATCGCCTCTTTCTTAGCCTCGCCCGACGACGACGGCCGATTCTTACGCGTATCTTTTTTCGACGCCGGCCGATCATCTTTGCGTTTCAGACGGTTCTGACGGGGCTTGATTGAATAAGCATCGACCAGTTTACAGAACTCACCGTCCGCGGTTGTTTCGGTGACGGCGGGCAAATTATTCTTTTCGCTCAGATCGTCCACCGGAATGGAATACGCGCGTATTATGCACGGCGGTACGGCATTTTGATTCGCGTCCGCGGTCGATGGAGGGCGCCGGTCCGGCGATACACTCTTACCTGCTGTTATCGTCGTATCAGCGTTGCTCGACGACACCGCGACAGCCGGCACGATCACCGTCGCCGTCGACCGATCGCCGGCAACGTTTTCCACTTGCAACGTGTCCGACATTTGTTTTTCTAGCACGTTCAACGGCTGTGACGAGTCCGCGTTGTTGTCCTGGTCCGGACTGCGCAACAAATCGGCCACGGTCGTTCGACTTGGCGTGGCCGGGGCGGGCGAAGAAGGCGGCCCGCAAATTTTTTCCATCAGGTGTTCGATCTCTGGACTTTTTTCCTTCGGAGGATTATTGTCGAGTGCCCTGTAAGTACACAAACAATACACGGTATATATTCACGGTGTCGGTGGACGGCCGCCGCGCTCGTCGCTCGCACACTGCGGCAAACATACTTTTTCACGTCGATTAATTTCAGTTTGACTACTACTTGTTCGCCTACCACCTGATTAATCATTCGCTGTGTCCCCGAACGATCGCCTTCCATCGCGTCGAAACACTCGTAGTACGTCTGTGGAAATGAAATCATCGATTACAACCAGACCTCTATAACATGCTGCACCACTATGACCACCACAACAACAAACACATTTCCGGCAACCCGACCTTCCCAGCAGTGGACCGACCCAACAAAGGTGCGGTTGTCCAGTTTCCACTAGGAGAGGAATGGTGGCACTCGAGAAGGATACCACATGAGTTTCTATATAGCTATTGTTGGAATTAAACGAACCATTCACAAGAGAAGGATTTAGAAGTAGACCAAAGGAAACTGGACGCCACACGTTCTATGTTAGTACACTGCGGAACCTAATCTCATCCGGTTTGTTCAAAAGCATATTATAGAAATATAATGTCGTTCCCGCGAGAAAAGGGCTGAATTTTGGCGAAACCCAAACGTGGAAAACCGCAAAATGTATTTACCGCAATCGACGTTCAGCGAGCACGTTTAGTTATTAATTGATTTTTTTAACGAAACACACAATATTAATCTATTTAAAACTATCTTATAGATATTATATAATTTTAAAGTTAAATTATTATTATTGTTATTCGCAAACGTTCACTGTCGTGCGAGACCGTGGGATGTAATTATTGTTATTATTGTTGTTAGTTTTCAAAGCTTATTGTAGATAATCTGTTGGTATTACCGTCCGTACTCATTGTATGATAGGTCGAGCAATGAGTAATCCATCATATTGTCTGTTTTAAACAAGAATATCTCTATAATTTACACGATTATATCGAACAGTCGATTCCGCGAGAAAAGCGACACGGTATAAGAAGAAAAAAAACATAAACCAACAAAAAATCTTAGGTACATATAAAATTATTACATTTTAAAGCGATAGGTATGCTGTAAAAAAAAAAATAGGTCAAATATTGAAATTTTGTCGTTTTGTACGTTTTTTAGTTGCAAAAAAAAAAAACATTGTTTTTCAATCTATATATTATCTATCGTCTGGTGTCTCTGTTCTCGCGCAATTACCATATAACATAATATGCATTGTACATGCTAACCGATGTAAGATTGAATTGTTGTACTCACTTTTTTTAAAAAATCGAATTGCTTGTTTTTGTCTAACTTGCTGAGGTACTTTACCAGTGTCTTGTTTCCGGGTCGTTTCATTATATTATGGTCTGAAAATAACATTGAAATAACAATCAGTAAACGAATCGATCAGGTCAAAATGTGCTTACATCGTTTGTGTACACAAATTATTTCACAACTAAACGTAATTAGAATTAATTTTTATTGAAATATATCTATAAAGTTTCTAAAAAAAAAAAAAAAATGTATGATGGATTAATTCCTATTTTATGTATAGGTATATATTTTTTCGATTTAACTGAACCTCACCAGTAGTAGACATTCTATGAACAGAATAATATACAAAAAAAATCAAAATTCTATCTGTTCCATTTAAGTGTAACCTAACCTAACCTAACCTAACCGTTCGGTGTAGTATTTTTGATTTTATATTTAAACTGAAATACTCTTACTTTCATCAGTTTGTCGAACAAGTAGAACCGTTTTAAATTTGAACAAAAATCTACAGCAAAATAATAAGTCGACCAACACACACCCGCTGCTCGTACAAGGATCTACTGCGTGCAAATGATAAATTATTATCCGTTTTGGATTTTTGCCTGTCGTAAAATATTATGTGGAAAACAATTAAATTGGTTGTTAACGAGAAAACGATTTACAGGGTAGTGTTAATTTTAAATGACCGACAGTTTAGCATGTTGTGTAGAAGACAAAATATTTTACTTGGATTTTAATATAGACATTCATTTTGAACAGTTAATGGCTGGCCACACGTTAGGTTAGGAAAAGGACCATTTACCTGCTGAGAGGTGAAACGCGGTCAAGGTGGGTAGGTAGATGAAATTTCATAATGGTATAGTGTTTGCTATGATAGATTTTGGGTAAACTAGATTAACCGGCAACCTATTGCAAAGGTTCCTATCGAACGCCCCAACAATACGGCTTGTAACTAGTCAGAGAAATAATATTATTCAAATAGTTTTTATTTGTTATTTATTCGAGAAAAAAAACCAGTACAATGATGTGCAAAGCAAAAAAAAAAAAACTACAAAAAAACCAATTGGAATGTTTTTGACACGACCTAATTTTCCGGCTAACCGGTTTTCAAGTAACTCTGTTTAAGTTTTGTTTAACCGAATAGCTGTTGTTTTCGGTCGGAAACATTCACAAAACTAAAATATAGAAAAAAAACAGTTTGCAATTTAATCAGAGACAATACAACCGAAATATATAAATTTATTAAGTTACCTAGTTAGTTTTTACTTCATCAAAACGGGTGAAACATTTTTTTTTTAAATTATGATTTTCTGATTTTACATATAAAAAAAATGACTATAATATATGTTTTTATTGTTGATAATAGTTTTTTTTAGATTATTTATTAATATATTGCAAAAAATTATGTGTTTATGAATTTCTTAATTTATTCAAAATACCCCCTCCTTCTGAAAATACCGTTCTAAACTATAAGGCTATAGTTGGCTTCCCCGTTGAGAGTGTACCTAACAAGTCAATGGGTTGGCACACGGGAACATCATATCATAATAACACAGGACTTGAGGCGCCACCGTAAAAATTATACATAAAATTCGGTCAACCGTAAACACCCATCAATTAAGCAATAATCAAAAAAACGCCTACCTATGACGCACGTCGACGTTAACCATCTCATTGTGGATTTTACAAGAGCCCTTAATAGTCAGACAGAAAATTGAAAAAAATGTTCAAAAGTCTCCCAACCGCGTGTAAACGTGTTTAGTACTAGTTACAAAAAATTACTTGACATTATGTCTGACGACATAATAATTTCTATATTCATTTTTTTTTTTTTTAAAGAAAAAAAATGCAATTTTGCAAGTTTTAACATAGAAAAATGATATAACAAAGCTATCAATTCGCCCACGCTGTTCACTGTGTTGAGTTATAGCGGAGTAAACATTGTGATGTACAATCATAATATAAATGTATTAGATTAGATTGACGGATGACTGAAAAATTAAAAAAATTTTTTTAAAAATGTTGATAAAACTATTGAGAGATTTCACACATGTACAAAAACACGCCTCTCGTGACAAGGCCATTAGGCTTTAGTAACTTGGCTTAGTAAAATATTTTGGATTAGTTCAGAATTAGAATATGTTTCTTACAAAAAAAAAAATAAAACACTACAGATAAGCCCCGAGAAAAGGTTTAAACACTTTTTCTATTGTACTGCACTTGACTTGAGAGGTATTTTATACAGAGACAAAACCAGGTTGATAATAATGTTTAATTAATACTTTAAAACACAAATAATAACTCAAAGACAATACTAGTTACAATGACACAGAGTATCAATCAGACAGCCGCGTATACTAATTAAGTACTGAGGCGTCTAGCTAAATAACTAAAGCCCTTGTATATTAAACTAAACAATGATTAATCTTACTATTACTAAATTATAATAACGCGTGACTGGGCTACTGGCCAATACGCGAGACTACGAATAATTAACAAGAACAAAAGTATTACACCATCTACATGATGATAATAATAATAATAACAAACAATAGTATTGGGATTGTTACACTATCTATGGGAAATTTTTTAATTTTGGGATCTGACAATAATTATTGGTCCGATGGTAGATATAATTACGTTTATCCGTAAATTATAATAAAGCCAATAGAGCAAGATCATAATCACATAATTTATTTTCTGTTTAGAAAGTTTTTCTGGCAGATGAACCGCGATAAGATCACAGGTCTTTTTCAGGTGCATTAAACATCAGCTGTTACGGGTGACTCGAAAAAAATTTAAAGTTAAAAACCGTTAACCGGTTCACAATAGGCATCGAGTATGAAATATCTACTGGGTGTATAATATTATTTGTCGTTTATGTTAAATAATATTATGCGTTGAACGAGAGCCGAATTAAAGTCTTAAGTAAAAAATAAGTATACCAAGTAAATTAGCCGAGCAATAAAAGAACAACACACAAACAAAATGTATGTAGAAAATTGTTTATTAACGATTTGAAGATTATTCAAACGTGATAGGCAAAAAAAAAAATATTTGCCATTTTAATTAAAATAAAATACCATAATAATAAAACGGTATACTACTAATTTACTGAAAAAAATATACATAACTAATGCAAGGCTTTTTTTTAAAACACTTTTCATAAGGTTAAGAGTTGTTGAAGACATAAGAGTTGTTGGAATAAAACAAATGTATGGTTGTGTAAAATTAGTAATAACACTTTTTTTAACTAATATTTTGTTGTTTTTTTTATTTAAAAAGTAATTGTTTTAATTGTTGAAGTGAATTGTAGGTAAACGGTAAAACAAATATACCAAGACTTTATCAGATTCACATCAACGGAAAAAAAAATCATAATAGTAGTTGACTTTATATAATATGTACGTACAGTGTACACATTAATTACAATTTAGTTTTTTAATAATTTATGCGGTATTCTTTATCCGATGTTCGCGAATTAATTTACATTACTCAACTAGTATCGTGCTAACACCGTAAGAAGGTTTTCAAGTCGTTGACACCCAAAAGAATCAAAGACTACAATACCTACTTAACCAAGCTAAATAAATAAAAAAAATTCGCAGCGTTTTCGCCAACTGTTGCGGTTTGAATAAATTACCCTTCAAAGTTCAACGTACAATACAGAACAAGTACAAAAATTAAATGCATTAATGAAGACAAAATTACCTACCTAATCGAAAAAAAAAAACGAATCAAACCCGCGGTTGTGTTGTAACAAAAATTGTTTATAGTAAGCTCGACAAAGCAATATTTGAACGCCAAACATAATTTAAATATTTACTATAATTAAGAAATATATATATATATATTTATACATCTGATTAGTCGACATTTTTTACCGTCGGTTAAACAACTAAATTTTACTGCCAGTCAGCGCAAATAAAAATAAAAATAAATTATTTCAAAACGAAAACAAAATTACAGCAAAAAAATAGAACCTATGAAAAATCAAAGTCGGCAAACCCTCGTCTTTTCTCGATCAATCCCGTCCGTTGTCGGGCTAATATGTCGACTATGTGAGTTTTGTCGGATTTATGTCTTAAAAAAAAAAAATACTTAACCCCCCGCCCCCCCTCCCGGATTTTGCCAAATTAAATGGTAAATCAAAGGCGAGACAAAGGCGCATCACAATAATATTACTATAAGATTTGTTATATTGTTCACATACCATTCCGGTGAAAATGATCTCGGCACTGAGGACAACAACCAGACCGTTGGTTCGGGTAAGACCGTTAGCGACGACTGCCGGGCGAATAATAAAAAAAATGTAAAAAAGACTTGTGTATTAAAAACGGCTTGTACGCGGTTTTTTAGAAAAATAACACAAATTGTGACAATTCAGTTAGTCTGACACAACAAATATAAAAACGACGACTATTCCACACACACACACACAAGCGGTACACACAAAAGCAAACATTAATCGCTTTTTTACCTTAGGAAAAATGATATATCATTTCCCCCCTTTGGCCCCGTCGCGCTCACAAGAAAAAACCGAACGCAGCAAAATATAATATTGTTGCCGTCGAACGCTTTTTGAATAAGCCACGAAATTTATTAAGTGAACGCGCCAGATGTGCGTTGAGAATATTGGAAAAAAACAAAAATTATATATTCTATTCGATGATGATAATAATATTAATAAATAACAATCCGTGTAGCCTACCGAATAACACCACCGCGGCAGAGCTCGCATAATAACACGTATACATACACATATACATTATATATATATGTATAATTATTTTTTTTAAATATTATCCTCTATTTGTGTTCACATTATATAAATACACATATTTGTACGGCAACACAAAAATAAACCACTGTGGATCAATACAATATATTATTATTCGGATCTGGCACACGCGAACAATATTATCGCGTGACGATTAATAATTATTACAACGGTATTGCATTGTATAAAAAATATATTTAAAACAAAAGAAAAAAAACCAGACGATAAGACTAATAAAAAATAAAAAACCCCAACAAGAACAAAGAGCGGATCCGACACTATCATTACGGGTTGTCTGAACGACCCACTCATATAATGGCCGAAAGTCATAGATAATGCAAGACAATCCGCCGCAGTTGTTACGCATATCCGTTGACCGTTCTTGTTCTCACATAGCAGCCTAGCAGCTAACTGATTACAGATTTAAAAAAAAATTGTGTACCCTACCGCCCCCCCCCCCCAACACTCTGGATCTACCTTCAGTGTAATTTCTAGATCCGAAGCCCTAAAACTATACCTGAAAAAACCGATATAAAGAAAAAAACGTCCACTACTTTTAGGGGAATGGGTTTTTGATGTTTGTTTTGTCATATGCCAACATACATACTATTATCATGTCTAAAGAATATCTTCCAAAATTCAAACCAATTTGACTATTTAAGAAAAAAAAACTATAGCGGGCTGTAATTTTAAGTTGAATAATATGTACATTTTTTTAGTGTTGTAGGGGAAGGACGAATTTTTGGCCCATTCAAGTACCATGTAGCGATTAAAAAGCTATCATGGGTAATCACGCATCATTTTACAATGAACAAACCCTCTTCAGCTACGCGTCGACGATAAAAAACCCTTATCTACACTTAAGCACTACCTAAATGTTATTTAATCTAACGGAATCTAATCTAAGCGACACTCAAATCACAACTGTCAATGTTATCTGACCTAACCTAATCGACGCTAGATTATAATTATCGTTGTTAACTAACCCATTACCTAACCCAACCTGACCTAATCGACGCTAGATTATAATTATCGTTGTTAGCTATAACCTATTACCTAAACATACCTCCAACCTCGCCTTATTATCTCATACAAACTGGGTCAGCCAGCCAAACCATTTCTCTTCGCGAATCTCTATCTTTTTCCACATACTTCCATATATTTTGGTCCATTCTCACATTTTCTGAAGTCTGCTTCAACATCGAAATTCATTTACAGAACGACTCAGTCTATGATCGCTTATTGTCTCTACTAACCTATCCACCGGCCACGTATCCATCGCAAAATTCTCATTTCACTCACACTCAGTTGCTGGCCTCGAGAAGATCCGAAACACTTAAATTCGGCGAATAAATTATAATGGAGAATCTATTTAAACGGCGCTCTCCGAACATAACGGGTTCTTGCTGCCTTTTGCTGTCTAGTGCCTGTCTAGGTAGTACCAGAACAGACTAAGTACAGTTGCCACTCACGTTTCAGGCGTTGAAAAAAAAAGAAAAAAAGACAGGCACAAAGGTTACTGACCTTACCCAACAGACGACGTGCAGTATTGAGCTGAAACCGAATCCGTTCAAAGTCAACAACGGCGTGTTGCAATGGTTATTTTTAACACATTGCACGTCAAATAAAAATGGCACCAACAGACTGCCTTCGCTGTCAGATAAATAATTTATAGCGAAACAGCCCACGCGCCTTGTAACGATCAAAATGAACGCTTTTAACTAGGTAAAAAGCTCAAGAAATTATCTGTTGACGGGTCAAGAGTCGTACACAATATACATTTAATATAATGAATACATGTAAAATGCTGTTAATCAAAACACTATAATTCATTTTTTTTTTTTGCAATCTTATCTCTATCCGAGTGTACTAATTATTATGAATGATAATTTGTTGATAACCCGCTGGTTGGCGCATTACAAGATTTATGTATTTTTTTTTTAGATAGCATTCATTTTTATGATACAAGAGCTTCAATCAAATGTGGCAAAACAAAAAACACCCAAACCAGAAAACTAAAACCGGCGGATAAGTTGGTAATCCGGGTATCTTTTTTTACTAAACTAGACTTACCTAACAATTAAACTGATAGCGAAATGGACAAAAAAAAAACAAACGAACAAACATAAATGCTATACAACACATTCCGATAAAAAACTAATTATATAATAATATTATAAATCATTTTTAATTAACAGTAGAGTGTTAGTTTACAGCCAGCACACGGCTTGCCTTAGTGTAAAACTAGAGCAGTCACTAAACTATAATTGCCACTTAATAATGATAATTTACAGCCAGCGCGGCCGGCTCTGGTGCAAACTTAGGACAGCGACTAAACTGCAATTAACACAAACAATAATTAGTACATCAAAATGTTTTTTTAAAAATAAAATAACTATGACTTGTTATTAAAGATGATACAATTTTTAAGAGTATTTTGTATCACTTAGACGACTAATATTGAAAAACCAACAATATTTTACATGCTATCCTTACAGCAACAAAATAAATATATATATTGCTATAATCTGTACAGGTTTTATAGATTTAACCGTAGAAACGTTTTCATATTAATCTCATGTTCATCTAAAGCCTATACATTTACATAAGGTTTTTTTTTTAAATTTGTAAACCGGTTTTAAAAGTGGCTGTTATTACACTAGAGCGAGTCCGGTTGTTCAGGTTTGACTACTGACATTTATCTTATTTATATCTTAGGATATACATACAAAAAAATAATTCAACATCGTCTCGAGGCAAGTTACGTTAGGTACCTATGGTAAGAAATGAAAGAATTACTTCACCAGATTTCAATGATTTAATACATTTTATTTAAAACAGCTAGCCTTCTAGGTTGTCTCACGGAAATAATAATTTTATCGTTGGGTAAAATAAAAATTAAAAAAACGTGTTCCAAATTTTAAAATCTCTAAAACTAAAAAGAACACGAGAAATAAAAAATAGTGTTGGATCGACATTTAACACCAAGCTAAACAAAAACTATTATTAATTTGATATAAGTTTCGTAGACAAACCTCCCCCCCCCCACCTCCAGAGTATATTTTTCGGTTTTATTATATTATTATTTTCTATTATCTCGATAGTGGTAGACACTATTAATGGAAAAGAACAACATATTGACGTACCTTTTTTGGGTGGAGATATATTGTTTTTTCTTCCCTGTAAAAAAAAATATACAAATATTTAGAACAGGATTAGATTTTATTCAAATAACTTAATTGCATTAAAATGGCAATGGATAAATCAACAAAAGCTGATTCCGGTTAAGGATTTCGATTACAATACAACAGTATGGAGTTGGAGGGAAGACAAACCCGGGTTTATCGGTTTTACAAAAACCCAATTAAACTCGGATTCATAGTATGTTTCGCCAAACAACACCAAACGTTTGTAAGGTTTGAGCAATTAATTTCAATGCAAAAAAAAAATCAAAACATATTTATTATACATTATACATTTTATCGTACATATTTTACAAAATTACAGCCGACGTTGTCTACAGAATATGTGACGGGCTGTAGATGCTGATCGAATTCCAGTTGTAGAAGAAAATGTTAACGTTATTATTGGTTTACTTGGTAAAATATAGAAAATATGCATTCGTGAACGTACTAGATGTTAAATACAAGTATAATTGTAAGTACAGAAAAAATCGGTACGGACGTGTCTTCAGGTTAGCAGTCCGCGGTCGTCTGACTAGATTCGTTCTTTACATCTCACTATATATAAATGTAGGTGTACATAGTAAAATGCCATCGGACTGTATTGTGGAAAAAAACTCAATGGGCGTACACCGTTATCCCCCACCTTGTGGTGTTTTATTCGTTTGGTTGACCGCACCTTGGCCGAACCTTCGTACCGCATCATCTCAGTGAATGTACATTTTATAATTTATTCCCAACCATTCAATTAGAACCAAAGAATTCTCAGTCAAGGCCAAAACTCTGAAGATTGTTATTTATATGGCGGAAGGTTCGTGAACACAGCTTGATCGTGGCTATATATTATTACCATAAAAGAAGGTGAAGGGGCCGCCCGTTGATCGAAACACACACACACTAGTTTTTTATGGACGGATTTTGTACACGAGAGAGATTCTCCAAAAGTGTAGGGTGGTCCAAGTGTTATGTACCTATCTATAGAAATATACAAATTCGAGTTTCTCAGGTCGTTCCATGCTAACGTTAACGACCTCACTATATCCGGCCGGGGAATATGAATTTAAGTGCATTGTTTTTTTAGCGAAATTGCAACAAAACATTTTTTAATTTAATTATGGGAAGCGCACGCGTTTTATTCGGTCTTTGTCTAGCGTGACTCAAATGCTCTCGACTTGAAACACTTCTTAAGCCGACCGGATCGGCCCAAAAGACAACAGCACAGTGTCATCCTCGATTGTGAATTTCCATCATTGACTAGTCGACTTGTTCTCTGCTTAAATGTACATTAGTATATTATGCTCCCCTATAGATCCCTATTGTGTACTCTAATGCATTAAACGGTGATGTGTAAATTAAACGACAGGATATTGTCAGCAATTGAAGCCTGCAGTACAGTGACCCGCAGCAACCCTAATGGACATTTCACTCTTCAAACCCGACGATAACGTTCTTTGTTCGCTTATCGTGCATCGCGTGTCAGTTTCCTCTACATTAAATAATATTGTAGACAGAATAATCGGCCATACGGTAGTTCATTCAGTTAAGTCAGATCGTTTAACATCAATCAGTGGTGTAATAAAAGTTCATTAAAAATGTATGTTAATGCAATCGAAAAAGCGTGTATCAAACTATAATTGCGCCAAGATGCATTTTTATAGATCACTTCCCCTATTAAGAATCGTTCGATATCGGACTAGGATATTTGTATTGCATGCGTTAACTGCAAAGGTCTAGCTGTTATTCCGGCTGGGCAATTCTTCTGGCAACGCAACCGCTACGAGAACACATTAGTTAGACCTATTTTAAATGTACTACTTAAAGAGTGATAAATAAAAGTATTAAATTATTTGACGTGCAAATTATTAAAACAATTGGTCAAAAACAGAACGTCCGTCATCAGGATTTTTGATTTTAAAGAATTAAGGTGACCTCTTTTTAAGACCGGATTACAATAAAACTGTTGTTTAAAATTTATTGGACATTTTTGTAAAGTGAAAGTTCTTTCCAGACAGAGTCTAAGGCGAGTGACACACAGAGGGAGTTGAAAAAAAGAAATTTCCTATGTTCACACGCCTTAGTGAACACAAAAAAAAATGTATTCCTCTCACGCTGTATAAAAATGTCATGTCAAAATAATATCCATACACTCTATGCGGGTCGTACTTTGTTTTAAATAAATGGACATTTGTCCGGAAACATTATATATATATATATATATATATGATATTTTATTATCATAGATACAACTACCATCATATTGTTATTTTTATTAAACGAGCAGAGTCCAACGATTCCTTTTTTTCGAGGCAACTGTTCACAGTATTTTGCAGTAATCTGTAATAACATCTTTAAAAAACCAATATTTTAATAGTATTTAATCGCAAAATTAAATTATTCAAAACATGTTTCTTCAGTAAATAAAATATTAAAAATACAAATGTCTCATTTACATTAAGGTGCTTAAACATTAAAAAATTCAATATCCTCTTCCACTAATTATGGTTTAAATGAACGACTACGCTGCTGTATGTCATTGGCTAATTCCGACCCCTCTTACTTGTAATTATTATAAATTATTGTAAATACCTTCATCTCTTTTTTTTTCTCTACCGTAGATATAGTTAGTTTATAGTTTTATAACAATTATTGTTACTATTATTATTGTTGTTTGATATTCCATTGTTCTTATATGTAGTTGTATAAATTATCACCGTTTTTATGATGTTTTATAAGCTTGCCCTCGAGGCGTATAAGTATATAAATATAAAATATAAATATAAATATTTCAATACGAGTTATTTGCATATTACTTTGATGATATTTTCCGCATAACCCCGTTATTGCAAAATGATTTATAACGTTGGTTGGATAACTCTAGTAATATTAATGTTACAAGCAACAGATAAATTACTTAGGACATTAAAATACAAATCTACCGTTACCTACACTAAGATATAGCGACGCCTGACCAAACCAAACCGGTCGACAAAAAGAGGTTGGCCGTCGATTTGGCACATGGTGAATGTAGGAATTAAATCATATAAGAATCGAAATATTCTTACTACAAAAGTTAGGTAAGATTTTTTTACATAAAACAAAACGAAAAAATACATTCACCTCCAAAAAAGTTGTTATTCAGTAGAAATAATCCCAAATTTGTACGGTTATTTTTTTTTCTAACCAAGTGATAATGATAATTATTATTATTTAAACACAAAACAATTTAATACGCGTGTTGATTGCAAGTTTTAAATAGTTTCAAAGTGCGAACTAATAATGAAATATACAGATACAATGTCGATAAGACGTGTCTAATGAATTTTATGACAGAGCCGAACTACTAAAAAAATAAAATACATCTATTAAAAATATAATACAGTAAATGTATACAGACATGATTTATACCGATAGGTCGGAAGAGTTGGGTTTGGATAATCCTAGTACTACAATAATATTACCGGTTTTTTAATGTTATTCTAATTTAAAACGAAAACGGAATTCAAACACAAAGAAAACCATGGACTCGCCGACAGATTTGGGCAGCTCCGTCCCGGGGTCTAGAGGAAAGGTCTCTTTTCGGATTTATTTTTTACGGGGGATTTTTTTTTAACTCAATGAACTTACATCTTCGTAATCTTGCAATGAAAATTCTTTTTTGACATAAGGCAACGCGGGCGGTTGGTCGTCGGCGGCGGCGGCCTTAGACGACGTACCGGAACATACCGGTAACGTTGTCGCCATTAGACAAACGAAATCAAATCATAAAAAAATTGATTAAATATTTAAATTAAATAAATAATTGCCAAGAAAACGGACGAGTAATCGGCGGCGAACGGCGTTCAACGACGGACCGTCAAGAGCAACTGGTCGCCGGCCGTGTCCTGTTCGGCATTGCAGTGATAAAGTAGTATAGTGGTGGTCTTGTAGGATTTACAGTCCGCTCACGACTAAAAATAATACAGCGACTGCCAGCCGTTCTCTCTCGTTTTGCCACTACCACTTTTACACAGACATTTTCTGCGTTTTTTTTTTTTTAACATCTCACGTCATCGCGTCACGGTCACATAATATCATATAGAATAATAATAGCCCCGCCGCCGCCGCCGTCTAGTTTGAGATAAAAACAATGGACAAACGAATCGTTATAAGACGGGGCAAAACTGTGGCGGGCCTCTGTGTGTTCACAGACCGTCGACGGTACTCGACGTTACTCTTATTAAACGCCGGTCGCTAGTCGAATAACATAGTTTTGTAGTGACAATTACCATTTACAGCCGACGGCGACTAAACCACCGCCATCGATACTAAAGTATAATGATGATTTACAGCCAGCACGGCCTGCCCTACCTAGTGCAACATAAGGACGGCGACTAAACCGCATTACAGATATTTTAATGACAAATGGATAAGTACCATTTTAATTTAAATATGGGTGAAAACGCCAAGTACGAACGAACGTTTGGAGCACCTCCCCTCACCCTCCGGTTATTTATATCAGAGAGCCGATGTAATTTTACATAAAATGTGTAAATTTCAAACTGAGTTCTCCATAAAAACGCTTAGGAAAACGAAATAAGAGGTGAAATTAAAAAAAAAAAGATAAAAAAAAAGAGTGAAGATAAAAATTGAAAATACTTAATACGACCATGACCAAAATAAAAGAAAAAAAAATTCCAAACAATTTTTTAACATTCTTTTTATCGTAAAAGACATGCAGGGCAAGTACCAAAAAGTTCCACAGGGGGGAGGGGTGCCCCAAACGAAAAATAAATAAACAAATAATCCATCAATAAAATAAATATATTATACAAAATACATCTTTAAAACATTATCACATTGTTTTAAAAATATAAATAACTATATAGTGTATAAATTAAAATATCCCTAACGCTTGACAAACAAGTATAAAACCAACAGAAAAAAAGTCTAAAGAAAGAAAAAGGCTTATAAAAATAAGTAGAATGAATAATATCCAATAAAAAAACAACGTCTAATGGAACAAAATTATTTTAATGGAGTACAAAATACTTAAAACAAGTTTCTTTCGATTACAATTATGTGAAGTTTTAAGAAATATGGTGTAGGGTCTCATAGTTTAGCTTTCATTGAATAATATTTTTTTGACTTCGGATTTTGACTTCATTGTTTTAACTATAATAATAAACCGTTCATCTAAAACACAAATATTATTGTAATCTCTTTCAAAAAAAGTGAAGCCCAATAACTATTGAGTACAATGAAAAAACCACAAACACAGATGAATAGTCTAATGAATGAAAATATGAATAAAAAAGTATAAATCAATTCCGCGTTTTCTTATCGCCAGTAAAATACCAACGTTTTTGAAATTTAGGAAACATTTGACGAAAACTTACATATATATTTAAATTAGGATCCAACATCGTCCCATGAATTTGTCATTCTTCTTTGGCATGTTAAGCCCGTCGAATTTTTCACACCGCTATAGATTTTTTTCCCACGATGATCTCTAATCCGAATGTTACACTGGAAATATTATTTTGAAGAACACCGCGACAAACACACAATGTAAGCTATAGCCGAGCAAATTAAAACGTATTCTATTGGCATTAGGCCATCGAATGGCTCTGGCACTATCATAATACAGTATATGTATAAACCAGTATATGTTTACTTAATATAAATGTATTATATTTATGTATGATATCATTAGCACAATGTGTTTCACCGATGCTGTTCAAACTTCAAGGATAAATTGATACGGACAACAAATGTCTTTAACGACAATGTGCA